ATCCCGACTGAGGTTGTCTGTGGTTTACCTCAGTTCCTCCAAACACCAAGATAGCAGCTTAAATTAGGTCAGGACTGATTCATTCCAAGTTTCGAGTTCATTATTCACCAAGTGTCCTATCGTTCAACGCCATATATTAATAATAAGCATTATTAACAAATAAATCTGTAATATTTCTTTATGGAGCCATCGATTAAACGAAAGGCGACAAACCGGATGTGTTTTTGATTGCAATGGCCCCACCACATCCATGAAAGGCACTGGAGCCCAACCGACATTTTCTTCAATTTGAAATCTAAGAACTTTCCTATGGAGCAATCCTCGAGAAGGTAACAGTCGCTCAGCCAATCAAGAAATTCCCTGTCTTTTATACAACCCGAAGGTCCATTATTATGTTCACAACAGCCCACCACCGGTTGCTATGCTGAGCCAGACGAATACAATCCACACCTGAGCTATCCAAAATCCATTTTCAATATTATCCTTCCATTTATGAATTGTCTTCCAAGCGATCACTTCCATTTTGGTTTTCTGATCATAGATCTGTACACATTCATATCTTCCATACGTGCAACGTCTCACTTTCACCTTCACACGCTCAACCCAACGACACTGAAACTAACAATTCACCTGGGCAAAGAACGCATGATCCAGTTTCCAGGTCGACGGACTGATCACCAAGGAAGTGATAAAGATGGAACTGCATCCTAGCAACAAGAACAGAGAACATTTGTCCCTCAGAAAGTCACGGAAGGCTCAGATCCACAACATGAAAAAATGGAAGGAGGTTCACTCTAAGGTAAAACAACAGACTTCATCTATACTTGGCCCCTCTCCATATATTACTCCCTAAGACTCGTTTTAATTTCATCCCCTATGCAATGAAATCACTACATGAAGTTACAGAAAAGTAGCAGCCTCCAGTGAACAGAGCAAACTTACGGACTTAACGTATTTAAATTTGTCACGGGGAACCACAATGAACACAAGGACACCATGCACAATATATTACATTTTTATTTCATGACATTTCAGAAAAGGAAACAATTATTTTCTGAACAACAACCACACAAAATTACACAACCCCATTACACTATCAAAACAATAATTACATATTTTTGTATGTGTAGAAATTACTCTGTGTGACTCATTTCTCGTATTTCAATATTACCTTCCTCACATTTTTTTTTCTTTTACAAGATTTTAATTGTACTCCCATAAAACAGAGGCAAAAATTCAGTTTTATATTACATTATATTTATTTCTATTAGCTAAGAGGCACAGAATTTCATTAAACGAGGTAGTACCCGCTTCTTCTCCTGCTTTCACTTGACTTTTTAAATTACATTCCTGTTAATTAACAGAAAAACCTATATTATTAGAGTATAAATAAGAAACTTGCCCAGTATTAGCGTCGAAACACTCACACAAATACAATCATCATATACAACTTACACGGATCTAACGTCCAGAAGTACCTGCCGGTTACCTTCGGACATTTCTTCCATACTAATTATACCCAACATCATCACAAAAGAATAAGATATTTTAATGCCTTTTTTAAATTTTTTTTGATATCTTAATTAGGTAAATATATTACTGATAAATATCTTAATATCTTACAAGTGAAAGTTTGAGGGAGGTTGTGTGTGGTTAATCAAAAGATTCTCAAGAATCACTGTTACTCACATTTCAAAAACGTAAACACCCTATTTCAAAAAAAAGTACCTACACTTATATACACATAAAATAAATATGTACAATTTATTATTAATCATCAAATGCCCATTACTTATATAAAAACACCTAATCTTTTTAAATGTGACTCATAATAAAACATCTATATTATTTAAATGCCATTTTTCTGCCATCTCCTTATTCGTCAAGACTCAGAACTACAGACACAGCTATCGTCAAGATGTAACAACTGAAGACTATTGGACGCATGTTCACAGGCACTGTTCAATTTTGTTTCCGAAGAAAATGTTCCATCAACAATTCCAGAAGAAGCAGGCTTTTACCTGTCACATTTCATTAGCGGAATTAATCTCCTGACCACAGCCGTCAATGATCGTGGGTCTTTACGTCATCCTACCAAGCACCTAAAATGCATTCAGTGGGTATCCGGTTTGAATCCCAACTAGAAAATGGGTCTTCTAACATTTCTCATGACTTTCCCCAATCCTTCAGATAAGTCAAATGGGCCATGATGTATTACCTAATCCTTTCTACACCACCATAAACAACGACACTCATTCTGTTTGGTCCAACATAACATCTGCAGTTAATAAAGTGTCATTAAAAAAACTCATGAACTGAACAAATCACACAATGTCCTAATTCGTTCAAGCAAAATGTAGTTTCTCAGCTGCTCATATTCGAAAATAAATATTAATTTCTGATTAAACACTTAAGTAATAAACGAGTTGAGACAGCAGTGACATATTACTCAGTCAGGAGGTTGAACAAACTAACCTAAGACGTTTTGTGGATTTCCTCAGTCACTCAAGAAAGTGTCTGGACAGTAGCTTCCTCTCAATTCATAACTGCCTTTTCATATCTGATTTTGTGCAGTTACCAGAGCTTTGTATAATAACAAATAATCAACCAACCGCAGTTAAAGGAATGCAATATTAAGGGCAGATTCACGACAATTTTCTCCGCAGATTAATTTGAACAGTCAAAAGCTGCATTATAGATAACATTATCAACAACGTTTGAACGCATGAATTTGTGCGTACCAGCAAGTGCATGTGTCTATTATCTTGTTTCAGGGAAGAAATCGCAGGACTAGAAACTTCAAGACACTTCAGAAATAATTTACAACACGACATCCAATTTTCTTTCTCGGTATCTGGCGTATTCATGGCGACAATGAAATGTCTTTATTGTATTTGGCGCTATGCGAAAAGGTCACGAAATATTTGCTGAAAATAATCATAGTGACGTACAAGACTTGTTTAGAAGACTGCTATAACATTATCGAGGTCTTGTGAACGCAGTATGAACCTTTGGGTTCTATGAAAGGTACGGAATTTGTTTAGCTGAGCAACTATTGGCTTCTCAATAAGAATTATGCTCCATGGAGCAAATTAGTTGTAAAGCTTTATACATCTTTAAAATCATTAATGACATTTCTTGATTAAATGAATTGTAAAGAAAAGTTTTTGTTTGTTACTGTGGGCAAAATGCTATATTTATCGCTCCGTGATATACTGTCACCACAAAGGAAAAGAAAATAATAAGAGAAGGAAACTGACATGAATTGAGAGAGAGAGAGAGAGAAGGAACATGATTCCATGATAAAACATAAATCCACTCACCGTTACTACCTTCAATGACTACAACCATAAATCATCAAAACAATGCATAACGAACAGTCGCCTGGCATTAAATAACCTACACAGTTGATACAGCACCATTAAAAATGCCTGACCCTTCAATGCAAAGATAGTTTCAAATTGAATTTAATTTGTTTTGTTTAATTTTTAAGACTGACCTTTAAAAATGTGAATATTCAGGATCGTTAACCTTCCACGTCTTATGCCCGGTGACCTCCTATGGTCTCATTCAGCATTTGCAGGGTCTCCGCAAAGATCTTCATCCGTATGGTCGGCAGCAAAGAATTTAAAATGCGATTCTTGAACGAGGCATTTGAAGAGGACAGTATTTTCCAGTTAGCTCTGTAATTTTCTGTGAATGACTACGTACTCTATTAGTCTCAATTCATTCATCGCTTTAAACTACATTTTTCAGTATTCTGGTTTGATGCCACCCATTTTGGACAATTATAAAGTTCCACTACCTGTTATTGAAGCAATGCCACCAGAAAAGGAAAATTACGAACACAGTTTTAGAATAAGCAAATTAGGCGCAGAACACAAATACTGAAAAGTTCTTTGATGTTACAAAAATAATTGGGATCTTAAGGTTTGTGACGTGTATTACTACAATAACACTTCTCAGATGTTATCCACCATCCTATAATCTTTAATTAAAACACAACAATTTCAAGACTAGAATCCGCCTCCATCCTTCGGTAAAAACCACTTTGTTGTGTCCGTACACAGAGCTGGACCCTTTTCTTAACAGATATGGAGACAGATTTCAGTCTCCAAAATGCTCTTTCAAAATAAATTAGGAAAACGGATAATATCCAAGGAGTTTATTCTAAAAATCATCGTCCAAAATGCATCTAGAAACTGATATGTCAACCCCAGTTTTCTGCAAGGGAGAAACTGGTTGGGCAAACAATGAAACAAGAAACAGAAAAATCCATGACAGAACAAACTGAACTACTGACGCTACATCAACAAATTTGCCAGATCACTGACGAGCTCTTACGAACATAATGATGGACTGTTAGGTTCTGTAAAGGATGGGAATTTCTTGACATAGTAAGAAGTTACCGGTTTTCCCAAGGCCTTTGCTCCTATAATTACGAGTAAGAATGTTTTTCATACCAAATGTATCTTTACTGATTTTTGCAATACATTACCTCACCAGTTTCTTCCTCTTCATTTGCAGTTTGGCAGCACTGAAAAGTGTATGCTGGCCCTAAATGCCGAGCATACAGCGTGGCGGAAACTAGGCAGAGCGTTACACCACATTTTAAGACCTAAAACTGGCAGTGTACACTTTCAGAGCAATGAAAAATGACGCTGGCC